GACCCTTGGAGACTGAAAACATACAGTATGAAAAAAGAAAAAGCCTAAAATACTTTCTGCATAATTTATCCTTCAGACAATTTTTCAAGAAAATTACATTAGCGTGTAATTACGAACACAGCCCTCATTCCCCAGATACTCAAAAATGCGTGCTATTGGTATTCACGTATTCCTCAAATAATGTTAAAGAATTAAGTATCATAGCAATGATGTTATAACTATTACTGTAGGCCTATACCTACTTTTGCACTTTTCCTCACACCAGTATTTAAACGAGTAAACAAATAACAAAATACTGTTGAAGATAAGTGATCTTGGTTTGGTGTTTTGTGTGCTGTTGTTTACTTTTTGTTCGATTATAACCATCCTATCCTAATGGGTGTCTTTGAACACTGCTTGCATTGGTGTGGCGTCGGTGGTCTAGTGGTTAGGCACTTGGATTATCAGCTTACATTAAACATAAACTACCATCATCATTATTGGGCAATTCCTGTATAGCACGAACATTTGATTTTCAGTAAGAAGTTTTTCAAATTGAGAAATGAACATGTTTCACACCAGATGTACGTTGAACAGACACGTATTCAGTAAAATACATTTCAATAACCCTCGCTATTCTAAGCAGACTTTTAACACACGAAAGACACATTTTGATACATATTTTCCAAAATAGCACATACTGTTTCAGAACAGCCCAGACTTTATAATACCCTCCATAGCTTTTCTCTGTCAGCCCAATCAATGCTTTTAAAAGTCGATAACACAGAACACGGATGTTCAACTCTACAATAGACAAAACTACAGGTCTATAATCGTGGGAGTGCTTGAGCTGAATGATAAATCACATTGACCCTGAAGTTATAACAAAATCAGTGGCTTTGCTATGTCAGCCCAATCAAATGTTTTAAAAACTACAATAGACTCTCGTGGCCAAGAGGTAAAGGAGTTCGCCTCTCATTCTAAGGTGTAGGATTCCAATCCGGATAGCGACCGAAACATTTTCTTCTCTATAATTGTCTGCCTCCGCCTCCTTTCCTGCTCTCTGGCAATGTTCTGCTGTCTGCTTTCGTCTCTTCTTTCTGCCCCCACCCCCACCCCCTCACCTCCTTTGCCCCCTCCTCTGACTCTTTCTGCAGCCTTTCTACTGCTACTCCTTGGCTCCTTCTTACTGCTGTCTTTCAGCCACACCCCTGATCTTCTGGTAGGAAAGATTTACACCTAGCCTTCTCGGACAAGGGCGAAAAATCTCGGAGGTCCCGTGTGCAAGTTGGGCACATTAAAGATGCTGTGATGGTCTAAAATCGATAAGAGAAGGCTTCGGCCACCACCCGAGCAAAAATTCAAATTTCCTAACAACTGAAAATGTTTAATGTATCCCGCGCGCACATATGACCGTGTACAGTTGCGAGCGCCGTAAAACATTTACAAGAGGTAAAAACAAACAAAACAACAACAACAACAACAACAACAACAACAACAACAACAACAACAACAAAACCACTAGACAAAACAGTTGGCCTCTCACTCTGACCGGGCCCGTGCTTGAGCTGGAGGACGTGTCACACTGGCCCTGGTGACCCAGCTGCACGGTGTACATGCACTGACCACCGACAAAGCTACAGCCAGGGGTAAACGATGCTGAGCTGACTACTGTGGTTCTCAGGAACAGCAGCAAAAGGAGCGAGAACGCCCCAGTAGAAGGAAACTGCAGCATGGCGAATCTGTGAGATTAGAGTAAAAAGCTGTAAATGTTTGGCCATTGATGATTGAGGTACAGAGTTACCGGTTAGATTATAAAGGAACACACACCGAACACCCCCCCCCCTAAAACAAACAAACAAACAAACAAACAAACAAGCAAACAAAAAAGGACAGAAAACCGTAAACAAAACTAAACTTTAAAAAAGCAAAAAACAATAAAATACAAACAGTAACAGCAACAAAAAACAACAATAGCAACAACACCAACAAGAACAGTAAACAAATAAAGAAGCATTGGCCAAACTGAAAAAAATCAAACCTCGCTAATGTTTTGAAAGGGCACCCCAGCCATGAATATGAATATCTGACAGCAACATCCAATAAAAACAAGTAAGCCCTAATCAGATTTAACTGTTGTAACCAGAATGTATATTTAAAACGAAAAATCAGTGTTGTAGCTATGTTCATTCGAAATTTTCGAACAATAAATATCGACGAACATTTTTTGGTGACAAAGCGAGAGGCTACAAGGTCAAGAAAGCAGACATACTAATGAGACATTTTTGTGAAAACAAGTTTAAACAAGTGGTTGGATAGTGACTGGATTGGATAATAACAAAACCACCGTTGGAAAGGATGTTTCAAAGACAAAGTAATACTAATAATAATGTAATTTAAATGTCCTATACCATAGTTAAAGTTATAATTTTTCCCCCTTTTCCATTGATTCTATTTAGGCTTTCTATCAAGAAAGAGGGTAGTCTACTTTTACTTCCCAATAACACTTTTGATGCAATTTTTTTTAAATCTCTCGCAATAAGACTTACCTTACACGATGTAATAAAACAGTTTAAACCCAAACCTCCCAAGTTCAGTTGAAAATATAAACTTAGCCCCGTGCCACTTACCAAAGATCCAGTCTCCAACAGTAGGCCCTACCAGTATGGATACAACAGCTTTTTATCAGGAGTTTTATGTGCAAGTTGGGGACTGCTGGAAGAGACAAACATTATAGAAAAACTTGGATCTCAGGTTGAAGGGTTGTCAAGAGGGCGGATTTCCCTCTCTCGCGGTGCTTGGGGGAGCGACGTATTCGATAATACTGTCTTCATTCTACTGTCTTATCTAAGGATATTTCCACTTGTGTGTTATCTCTTCTCTAACCTTTATTATGATATATTCGGAAATGTCGAAAACATGCTCTCCATGACGCGGATGAAATCTCATTGGACGCATGAAGCAAGTGTGATAAGAGACAGACCAATGTGGCAAACAAGTTAAATACAAGCTGCGCTCCTTCTGGAATTCTTCGCTGGCGTCTGTGGTGTACACGTAGGGGTTCTATAGCCGCCACTTCCCCGTTGCATGCAGAAGACCTAAGTTTGATTCCAGAGTGGGGAGAATTTTTATCGAATATCTTGGTCTTTCTGCTGGGATATTGTATCCATCTCAGCCCAGGTTGGCCTTGGCATGCAGGGTCGAAGCTCGTCTCCGAAAAGATCTAAATTGTGTCAATTGTGACGCAAAAAACACTAAATTGTGTCAATGGTGATGTAAAAACACCAACGAAAAAAAACCTTTCCTCTCAGGCCGAAGTCCTGAAATGAAGCAAGAACGCTATCCCTGCATCTATGCCTGTAGCTTTTTCGTTATCGTCTGGCTGTGGTTAAAAAACAAATCACCTTTGCATGCGGGTGACTAAAAGAATCTTGAAGGTCACTGCAAATGAAAAACTAAGGTTCTGACACGTCTTCCCTTAAGTTAGCCTAAAGAGCAGGTAAAAGAAACGACCCTC